GGACTCATCCACAAAATCGGATCCTTTCCTTTCATTTGATTTCGCAGATGACTGTGCAACGACCGTCTCGTCTCAGATCAACGTTAGTAGGTTACTAGGTAGCCGTTCAGGGTTTCTAGCTTTTCGTTGTTGTTTAGGTTTCTAGGTAGTCATGAGGTTCGTGAGTTGTAGGCCAAGGCAAGGGGGACCAGGTATGAGAAGAAACGGAAGCACCCGCAGCAGAAAGCCAGTTTTGGGTTGTGATGTCGATGCCTGGTTCTAAGTATCTCTCAGATCTGGTTTTCTTGCAAATCTGAGAGATTCAAAAGTTTTGGAACTGCTCAGAGAGCTCCATCCTCTCTCTGCAGATTTTGGGAAGCTTGCAACAAGGGCCTTTTCGGCCTTCTTCTCTGTCGGCTTTTTTCTTCTCATCGTCGTGCCATCGTTCGGAAATTGCAGAGATAAGTGTCGCATGCAAAGGCGATGGTGCTCTGTCCCTATTCTCGCACATAAAGTGAACTTAAGGGCAAAATGGACATTTCATCCCTTCCATCAATATTTAACGCCGATTGGTAATTTTGCGGAACAGTAGGGGTAGTGTTAGACAATAGTCAAACAGTAAGGTATACTTGGCCAATTAGCTAAACCATAAGGTAGTTTAAGAAATTTACCCTTTGGAAAATCTATACCTAGATTGCAGAATGCACATAGTTTTGTAAAACAATTAAACAAGTAATTTTTTTAACTATTTCATTTTCAAGTTGCAGTCTTATTGGGTTCAAGATCCTCTGCATGCATATCTAGATTTTATCATCATCATCATCTAAGCCTTGCCCAAATATATTGGACCAGCTACATGAATCCTGTTTCATCATTCCGTTCTGTTCAGTGCCATATCCATCATTAAATCACAGATGCTTAAATCATGTCTGACTACTTCTACCCAAGCCCTTTTCAATCTACCCCTAGCTCTTCTACCCCTTCAAGTTGTAAAAGATCACTTTTAAGGAGTGTTGTAGATGGTCATCCATGAACATGACCAAACCATCTCAGCCTACTTTCTCTCATTTTATCACCTATTGAAGCTACTGCTAGGTTCCTTCATACAACTTCATTTCTAATCCTGTTCTTTCTAGTTTTACCACTTGGGAATGAAATGAACAAAGGGGATGGAACCATGAAATTAGTGGATTACTTATTCTTTTGGTGTCCCTCCATATTACCACTTGGGGAGTTTGTTTGCTTCTTAATGCTCATTTTTGACACATGGATAACTGTATGTGGGTTCTGTTTCATTTTGAACACTCCAATTTCAAGTGTATATTTCAAGTCCAACACATTGTCTAGCCATATACTGGCCGCATCTAGGTCACAGACAATGCTTGTTAACAATGTTGCGAGGACACCTTGAAACTATAAGGTCTGGCCATGTTGAAATTTGGCACATGGCATGACACTTCTTGTAGGCATTGAGCAATGCTCCAAGCTGAAATCAGCGCTAACCTTGGTGCTTAGGACTCATAAACAAGAAAATACAAGAAAGGGCATATCCAGCTAGGAATTCATACTTTAGTTATATTATTTTTACTTTACCTTTGAATTATTATGTGATTAAATAAAACCATTGCCATATCTCCATTCTATAAGGAACTTCAAATCATTTGCAGACACATCAATCTCCATTACTTTATTTTTGCAAAAATCCTACATGGCAAAGTAGCACTGCTAATTAGGCTAACCTGGCCTTAGTTCATGTCATTGCCCAAATGACTGCAAATGGATTGGATCAAATTAGATATACCTAGATCCAAATTTAATTCAAAATACTTATATTCAAATTGAAGCTTATCCATCAGATTTAGGTAGGATTAGAATCAAATTCAGATTAATTTCAGATATTAAATTCCATTAATAAATTACACTAAAGTATCAAAATATTATACATTACAAATAAAATGAACTAAAAACATGACTTTGACAATAGTATATCATGGATAAATGAATTGAAAATAAATTCTATAAGATAAGAACCTATGACTCCTTTGTATACAAGAAACATTCAAACCAATGTTACCAATAGATACAATATAAATTTTATCATTTTATGTAGCATAAATATTAAAATGTTATCAGATTGGATTGGATATAGGCGGATCCATGCTTAATCCAACTATAAACAGATCAAACCTGGATACCATTCACAGTCCCAGTAATTCAGGTATGACTTCCACTCTAAATAGGTGCTAGAAGTGCTATTTGGGCTGTGATTCCCTTTAGCATTTGCCAGAGAATTTGGAAAGAAAGGAACTATAAGATTTTTAAAGGCATTTAAAACCTCCCACTGTACAGCAGCTAGTTGTTGTACAAAGGTGTTTTCTGTTTATAGTTTTCTCATCAACACAACACCTACTTTCCAAAAAAATCCATTGCCCATCTTTGTACAGATCCAAGTAATTTTCTAATGAACAAGTTTCTCGCCCTTACATGCTTCAGATCAGTTAACGGGATGGTAGTTGCAACAATGAGTTGTGTGTAGAAAGTGGTATTACAGTAGAAGTTTAGAGCAATATTTTCTGTTCTCCTTTTTAAACATCCTTGTAACTAATAAAAAAATGTTTGATTGCTCATCAAGGGGCCATTGCTTTATATAATTGTAAAACCTCAGGCTGACAAGTGACAAGCATGAAAATGTAGGTTCAATCAGACAGAAACCACTTTATGAATGGAAATTTCAAAAGACTAGGTCCATATCCAGTAAAACCCTCCCAAGACCCCAGATAATTGGGGCCATCATTGGGTAATGACCCTTTATTTGATTACTCATCAATATGTGAACAAGTATCTTTTCACTCTGACAGGAGTGTAAACCAGGATACACTTAGGATTGGAGACCACGAGATAATTGAATGTGACCATTCCCAGTACCTTGGTTCAATAATTCATAACAAAGGGGGAATAGCATTCCCATTCCCGGTGGAATGGAATTCCCCCATTTGAGACCATTCCAGCCAATTCCAATTCCAATTCTAATTCATTTGAACCAAATAGGCAAGGGTAATAGACCATTCCAACTGCGAACCAAAGGGACCCTTAGATTAAAAGGAAGATCCTATAAAATAGTTGTAAGACCAGCTATGCTGCATGGAGCAGAATTTTGGGCAGTCAAGAAACAACATATCCAAATGAGTGTGGCAGAAATGCAAATGATATGATTGATGATGGAAAAACTAGAGAGGATAGGATCAAGAATGAAGTCATTCGTAGAAACCTAGGAGTAGCTCCAATAGATGACAGAATGAGAGAAAAGTAGAGTAAGATAGTTTGGTCATGTGCACAGAAGACCATCAACAGCACTAGTTAGAAAAAGTGATTTGTTACGAATTGAAGGGGCTAGAAGGGCTAGGGATAGAACAAAAAAATAGTAGTTAGAAATGATTTAAGCACTCATAATTTCACAGTGGATATGGCATTCAATAGAATGGATTGGTAAAACAGGATTCATGTAGCCGATGATGATGAATCTTTTTTTCTTTTGATAGATTTTTTTAAGGTAAGGGAGATGATATTCATGAAGTACACATTTATACAACCTCATGGTGCACTGGTGCCAATCCATTAATCCTTGACTCATGAAAGGTGAGACTCTAATCTTGATCGGTTTTTAAGGCTCAGTTTGGAAAGGGTATAAATACAAACATGTATGGTACAAATACACACAAAATAATACAAAATACAAGGTTTTGCACCCTACATATTTGTATTTGTACTCCTTCCAAACTGAGCCTAAGGTACAAAGTGCAAACTCTCTGAAATAAGATTTACATCAGGTTCTCGGCTCAATTCACCTAAGCCTTACTCTAACAATTTGGGATGGGCTACTAAATCCAGTGTTACCATTTCTCTCTATCAAAGACAATATCCTGTATTGACTTGTGAATCACTTGTAGAGATAAAGAGAGTTAGCCGAGGGCTATTTTTGTGTCAACACATGCAGATGGCTTATAAAGCAAAGTAAAATCACATCCCTTGACAAAACATCAACAAGTAAAACAAAGGAATGAAAGATTGATTTGGCGGGCCCAAACATTGCAAGTATTATCAACCAAGTATAAATAGCTTGGTTGCAGCTGCCAAGTTGAATTATGACATGAAAGATTCAAGCACATAGTGGAACTTGTTAAGGTAACCACTGGTAACTATTACAAGGAATGGAAGGATACATAAAGAACCTCTATTTGTGAAAGTGAAACTTGAATGATGAAACAAACAAATGAGACAGAATTTAATGCTTTGCTAACTTGCTAGGTAGGTCTGGAATTTAGGCTCAGTTTGGAAGGAGTACAAATACAAACATGTAGAGCGCAAAACCTAGTATTTTGTATCATTTTGCATTTATTTGTACTGTACATATTTGTATTTGTACTCTTTCCAAACTGAGGGTAAAATCATAACTGACAACTCCATCAGGGCTTAACTGGATTTTGGATCGAAACCAGGTCCTTGTCAACTAAGAATTTCATCCTAAATATTTGACTCAAATAAGTAATAGTAAACCAACTTTGCAGTATTGAACCAAGTTCCACTTTTCTTCTTTTGGCACTTCACCGTATGAGATAGGCTTTATTCCAAAAAGAAAAGGACAAATTGGCATAAGCACTGGTTGAAGTTGCCCATATAAAAGATTAAAGAAGAAAAAAATCATTGATTAAAGTTATTTGGGTTTGTGCTTGTCCAAACTCCTTATTATACTCAAGATCCTAGTATTGTTCCCTTTTTGAACTATACATTTGAGCTCATTGGTTAAATTGTAGACGGCATAAATCAAGAAAGGAAATTGAACAATTCAAACCCAATTAACTTCACATTCAAAGAAAGGCCCAAACAAAGAGAACAGAATTTGAACAAATCAAACCCAAGTAACCCCACATTCAAAGAAATTGAGCAACCCAAATCCATATAGACCAAAGAAAGGGTTTTGAACAACTCAAATTCAAGCAACTTCATATTGATTTTATACACACATAACCAATCCACATTCAAAGAAATTGGACAACAACTAATAATAAGCACAGAGGGCGAAGAGGGAAATCCATTCACATAGATTCACGAAAGTTAAAAAGGAATGAGAATGGCGTCTCCTTCCGCAGGCGGGAGGGGAAAGTAGGTTAGCTTTAGGGTTTCGAAAACAGGGAAGAAGAAAGAAATGAGACGAGCTTACCATAGTCGGGGCGAGGGCGTTTGGGTAAGCCGAAAGAAGGATTAAGAGACGGTTGTCGATTCCAGTAGCCGTCCGCCATGGCTGCAACACCGTAACCGGGACAGAATAAAGTGTGACTCGAGACGGCTAATAACCAGAAAAAACTCTGTTTAACAAATCATAGCTCGGGAAATAGAAGAATTGGAGAACGAGAGATAGAAATTGAAACGTAAAACCTTGCCTGGACTTCGAGTGCTTAAACCCTAATTTTCTCCTCTGCGTGTAGCCTTACAGCTCTTTTTTCTTTGTCGCGGTAGTTTGGGTCATTTCACATTTGTTAGGCTATGCTATTGCTATGCTGCTCGCCTGGCTGGCCCACGGGTTCGATCGGGTTGAGAATCAACCCAGGCCCAACCTAAGACTTAGCACTTAGGGCCCTCTCCCCTTTGCCATTATGGGCTTTCCGGGGTCTTTACCATATAGTGCTCCCAAGTGGGGCCCACCTCGGAATAAATAAACTACTATGGACTTCAAAAATCTGAAATTACAGTTTGGTCCAACCTGAGATCAATCCCAAGTTTAACAACAGCAACCAAGGCCCAATCCGAGTTTAACCAATTAACACTTGGGCCAAACTCGGGGTTTAAGTGGGTTGGTCATACTCTAAAGGATTTTCTTGACATGTTTTGTACATCCACAGGGTAATCATGAGCCAAGCTCGGCGAGGCTTTCTGGGCCTATGACTTTAACATAAAATTTTATTTATAAAAGTTTATATTAAATGTTATATAAATCTAAGATATGATACTGAAAATGCTTTAATCTATCAAAACCCCGCATGAATTTTTCATAAAATCCCACTTGATTAGTCACTATATATTCTATGATGCAAATGATAGCATAAATACGTAACATACAGTAAATATACAATATTTATCAGGCTCGAACTACCCTAAGGCCTTAAGGCCCTTAGCCAAGTCCAACCTAATTTTAGATCTGGCCTAAGTTTTTGGGCCTAGTCCCAATCTAAAGCCCACAATTGCCCAAACCATTCCAAAACTTGGGTGGTCAAGTTGGGTCACCCGAGTTGCAGCACTAGCCTAAGCATAAACAACTTTTGTAATGACCAAAACAACTGATAATATAGTGATGCAACATAATTTATCCAAATTGAACCAAATACAATTAATACAATTAAGGGCGATATAAACTTAATCTCTTTATAATTGAATTAAATATTAACCCATTATTTTCTTTTTCGGTAAATAATCCGATATTCTAAGTGTAAAGGAAGTTATTTTCATTTCATCTGAGGGTTTTCTTTGATTGGCCCACCTTATCATTTTTATTGGTTTGTAAGCTGAAAATAGTAACAAGTGGAAAAATATAAGGAGGGGCAAACCATAAATTTCCCTTTATTTAATTTTGTTCATGACAAACAATATCAAAATCATTTTTAGTTCACTTTATTTATATTTTATAACATTTTCGTTATTTTTGCTTTAAATTGTTATTTCCATCTGAACTCAATCCAAACCAAACGGATAAGATTGGATTTCAAATATAGATCTAATGAATCAAATTAAGGTCTGGTATAATTGCAACCTAAACATAATGAACCCGTTCATTATGAAAGAAAGAGGGACTTGAGCTCTCCAATGCACACAAGGCTGTTTCATTCCAACGTTCAAAGTATCGATACGTATTGGGCCGTATCAGCCGATATGTATCGTATCGAGAGCTTCCCAATATGCTCTTACAGATGGTGTATCAGGGTTTCAACCAGTTTAGAGGGTGGACGGACCTTAAACCAGCCCATCTGAGCTAAATTTGAAAAAAAAACTAGAAAAATAAAAAAAAAAAGGTTATCGATACAGACCGATACACCTTTATCGGCGTACTAGGCGTATCAATATTTTGAACCTTGTTTCAATTCATTCCATCCTACAAAGAAGTTATGGGAATCATATTTTGTTTGAGACACAACATCCAAGTATTAAGTCCCATTTATGTTGAATTTTTATTTGATTTAAAAATATAAGTTAAGTTTGGTTTGAAATTAAACAATCCATACTTCATTCAAAAGAACTACAATCCTCACCAATGTAAAACATCATAAAAGTGTTTGGGGTTTCAGTAACGTGCATGATTTTTTTTTTTCAAAATAAAAAATATGATTGGTACTTATTTTTGTTAGAATGCTTTGAAAAAAAATAGCCACGCATTTGCAAACATCTCCTTGTGTTGGGTGTTTATTCAAGTTAAAATGCTAAAATTAGTTTTGATTTGTTATTAATGATATGAATGACTTCCCAACCTGAATTATGAAAATGACGCAACTTAATTTAGAGTGGAGCCTGTACCACTTTTTATATGTGTTTTTCTTTTAAATTAAATATTTATTTTATTCATTTTTTCTGAGTGCAAGTCTAGCTAAACAATGAGTGCATGAATAACAAAAATAAAATAAATAATTCAATATAAGATGCCATACTTATACATAATTAGTGGGAAGAGAGATAAGAGAGGGAATTTTTGTAAAAAAAAAAAAAAAACCGAAGTGAAAGGACGAAAGAAAGTAGGAAGAGATTTTGGAAGGAGTACTATATATATTTGTATTTGTACTCCTTCCAAACTGAGCCTTAAAAAAAAAACAGATAAGAGAAAAAGCAAAAATATATAAAAAAAGAAATAGAAACTTAGTACTAGTGGTAGGGGTGATCATTTCAGCCAGGGCTTGGGCCTAGATTTCGTGTTCAGGGCTGGCAGGCCTGAGCCCGCATCAGGGCAATAAAATTCAGGGCAGGGCCCGGCCTAATACTTCAAGCCCAGCCTGTATATATTTAAATAGATGCGTTATATATATATATAAATATTTAGGGCTAAAAACGGATTGGATTGAATTTGAATTATGGTATATCTGATTTGATTCGATAAGAAAATTGCATAGATTTGAATTCAATAATAATTTGATAAATATTACATTTTTATATTCAAATTCAGTTCAATAAAATTGTTGGATATTCGATTCAAATCCGTGATCGATATTTTTGTCAAAAATTGAAACAAAATTTTGGAAAAAAAATAAATAAAAGAGAAATTGACATCTAAAACAAAGAACATACCTGCCTTTTTGAAATTTGAAACAAAACTTACTAATTGACTGTGCTAACGACTGAGATTTAAAAATTATTTTGTCCATAGCACATAGCTTGAAATCTAAAAACAAAGCAACAACCTTGCATTATTAGTGAAGAGAGAGGGGAGAGACGCTAAAAATCTGAAAACAAATCCATTGAATCTTGTAGAGAGAATGAGGGTAACTCACAAACTTGGGCTTGTCAATGGTGTCGCCTCTTATGTCCAATCTCTTCTCACTTCTCAATAAGCCCTTATAACATTGTTGATAGATGAAGACAGTCATAGAGGAGAAGACTTGCCATGAGTGTATAAGATGCAAAGGTTGTGTTTGTTTGTGGTGTAAATCAGTATTGGTGTAAAAGTCCACCACTAGTTTGGTTTTGTTGGTGTTTGTTTGCAGTGTAAATCAAAATCAATGTAAAATTTCACTCCCGGTTCAAATTTATTGGTGTTTGAATGGAGTAGAGTTTTACATCAATAATCGCATTTTTCAAATCTCAACGGTTCAAAAATTTTAAATCGTCGGTGTGAAACTCCATCGATGGAGTTTTACACCACAAACAAACGCAGCTAAAAGGAATAAAAAGAGACTTTGATGCCTCGTTCGTTTACCGCTATCTTACTTACTTGGGTAAATTCACTTACCCAAGTAAGTTTTCCAAGTAAAATTTACCTAGATAAGTTTATTTACCCATGTTCTTTGTTGAAATTTAACCAAGTAAATGAGACACTCCAATTTATTCATGTTCTTTTGTCTCACCGACTTTTATGGGTAAAAGGTCCATTTTTTACACTATTGCCTATATTACCCTTTTGTCTCTCCTCAATTCTCTTTGTTGGTTGCGTAGAAGGGGGAGAAAGAGAGAGAGAGAGAGAGAGAGAGAGAGAGAGAGAGAGAAAGTGAGGAGGCCTAGGAAGAATGGAGGTGTGTGATGCTTTAGTAAGTGGATCTTCACTGCTAGGAGGAGGAGGAGATATGGTAGAAGGGACGATGGATTATAAAGGTTGCTAGGTTAATAGATCCAAGAGCGGCAATTGGAGATCTACATTGTTCATCATAGGTGAGTTCTTTTCTTAATTAATGTTTGCCCTAAGCTTGTTAACAAGGGTATTTTCGACTGAACAAAATCACCCAATGATAGAAAAGTAACTTAAGATTTTCCTAGGTAAATGGCCAAAATACTTACTCGAGGGAATTTGTATTTTCTATGGGCCCCACATGTATTTGCAAAAGAACATGGGAAAATTGGTCAACTTTCCCATTGACCAACTTTCCCACCCCAACATAGCGGTAAACGAACGGGGCTTGAAAGAAAAGTCTATTTCTTAATACAAAAAAGAAGAAAAGGCTTGTCTCTATTTTTTTAGAAATTGGGAAAAAGGCTTTTTCTAAGTATGAAATTATTAAGCTTTGGTTATAGCCTTATAGGTTTTAGATTAGGGTCTAAATGGCATATAAAGGCCTATAAAATTAAAATATTTGTAAATATAGTGTAATGGGATGATAGGGACATATATGTCTTCAAAATAATATATATATATATATATATATATGTATGTATGTATGTATGTATATCTAATTTCGATTTGATAACTTAATGGATTAACTTTCCTCTTTCCTAGTTTGAATCTATTTGTTAGGATCTGGAGAAGTATTCAAATATGGCTCTTAATGGATTGAATTTAGATTTAAATCAGATCAAATCCGACTTATTTGCAGCTATAAATATTATAACATAACACTTATAGTATATATTATATGCAATATTTTATATTATATAATGTATAAAAAAACTTATATGAATATTATATGCCATTTAATATAAAGCATTATATATAGATAATATTTTATATATCAATGGATATGGCTTTAAATAGAATGGATTGATGATTCATGTAGCCAACCCCATATAGTTGGGATAAGGCATGGATAATGATGAACATTTTATATATAAAAGATGTAGGCCCGGAATCAGGCTAGGCCTAGGCTATAATTTTATCATAGGTGCATAACCTAGCCTAGTCCATGATCACCCCTACCTAGTGGTGCTTATGTGTAATAAACAACAATAAGCAATATTTATTGTTATATTTTATATCATGTCCCTTTATTTCCAAGGCTTAATCAACTTTATACACAACACTCATACAACACATACCAAATGGGGTCTGTTTATGCTGTCATGCTTAATCTATATCTATATATTAAAATAGAATGTACCAAGTTGACACTTTCGTGCTTTTTGGTTATTTTAGAAAAAAGGATGTTTTGTTTTCTTAATTTTAAAATTGCACAAAATAACTCATGTGGCCAATCAACTTTAAGACTTTTACCCCTCTCATTAACTTACCACATTAATTCTCTCTCTCCTCTTTCTTATTAACTTCTTTAATTATCTATTGTCATTAATTATGCCATTAACTCTCTCATTCAATAACTTATGCCATTAATTCTCTCTCGTTTCCATTGCTCCATTAAATTGCCTAAAATTTATCAATATCAATAAAAAGGTAATTATATTGAAATGGTGATATTCAATGACATATTGTTATGCTAAATAATCCACTTATACTTAAAAGATAATTAATTTTTAAATTAATTAATCAAGTGATTTGCATTTCAGAATAAATATTATTTATTTCACTTAACAAATAAAGCTAGTGTTTTAAAAGCCAATTTGGAGGTTGAATAGTTTTTGCCTCTAGGCCACAAGTCAATGGTTCAATTGTCCAAATTGGACAAGTCAAACCATGACACACCATCCATCTGTATATGTATAATATGATATAATAAATTACATTTTATGTGTATGTGTGTGTGTCTCTCTCTGTTTTATATTATATTATATATATTATATAATTTTAGGTCTAATTTTTACTTTTCTTTTAAATTTTATTTTTTATAAATAAAAAAGAGCCAAAAGTTGAAAATTGAGGCAACAAAATGATTTTTTTGTCTAACGGGATTGCAAAGATCATGAAAGTTGCATAAAATACAAAAGATCACTCCAATCAGACAATTGAGCACAAAGTTAAGTCGTATAGAAATTTTCAATACATTGTATATTTATAATCCATGACCCAATGGCTAGGTCAAAAGGGTCAATGGTTCAACTACCTAGGTCGAATGGGATTTAATGAAATCGATATTTTGATAAAATAGTAGGTTTTAGGAAACTCAAAATTAGAAATAGGGCCAAGTGATGGTTCAAATGGTTTAACCATCCAAATCAATGGTGAGTTGAAAACATTGAATGAAACATCATAAAAATTATAATCCATTTATATTCCATTTGATAATAATAAAAATTAATTAACCATAATAAAAATAATTTATTAAATTACTTAAATATAATAAAAATAATTAATAATTATTTTTGACAAAATATGTTTATTAATATAATAGAAATAGATAAATTAATAAAAAGTAATAACATAAATTAAAAACTAATACCCATTTAAATTTCATCTAAAATTAATACAAAACTCATACAAAATTATCTAATAATTATTAGTTTTATAATTAATTTTTTACTAACCAACTTAAATTGTGTTGAAAAATAAAAGTTTAATATGATTAATTAAAATAAAAAGGATTAATAAAAATATATTAATCTTAAATATAGTTTAATTAATTTAACAATCCTATGAACCTCCCCTATGTTTTGACCTTAACAAAATCCTCCCATATTGTTTTTAGAAAAAGATGCAAATACCTTCCTTCCATTAGCATTTGAAATAGAAATGTTGATGTAATGCATTCATTTTTTTAGATATCAAATTTACCCTTAGCCAACATCATTTGGATGTAAATGGACTAAAATACCTTGGAAGAAAAAAAATTGCTTCCTTTTCCTTCACTTCATCATTTTTACTTTACTTTGTCCAAGAAGAGTAGAGAGATTTACTCTTTGAAAGTTGTTAAGCAAAATAAATTAGTGGAGGTTAAAGTTAAAAGTTTAAATTGTATATATAACACCTTAGAAAGACAAGGGTATTTTTGCAACTTCAATGTCTTTATTAATGAAAAGCTGATGAAAAGGAGATATATGCATTTTTTTCAAAAGTATAGGGGTCAAAACACAATGATGCCTTATAGAATTGTTATAAGAGGAGGATTTTTATAATTTTACCTAAAAATAATACAAAAAGAATTACAAACTAATAAAATCTAAAGAATAATAAAAAATAGCATTAATATACAAAAAATAATACAAATTTATCTAGAACATGAGAAATTAGCTACTCTCACCAAAGTGCAACTTAAATTGTGATATAATAAATTAGACATAATCCAAAAATAAATGCTTGAATTGAACTTAAATGAGCACAGTTTAATTGAAAATGTCAAATATCTATTTCATCAAATTTTCTTAGATAAAACCCATAATCGCACGATCCAGACTAGTTATGATTAAAATTTAAGACGTTAAGCTTTTTGATTTTGCGACCTTAATTTTTTACTTCCAAGTCATACTTGTACAAGAAGACAAGTGTGAATGGTCTCTCGTCTCCCCCCTCTATGTTCCAGCAAAGTCCGTTGGAACACTGTTCGAACAGCCCTTGGGAATATCTTTCCGGTACTTTTATATTTTATTTCAATAGGAGATATTCCAAATGCAAGGCTATGATGGCTGTTCGAATGGACTTTGGTCTGACTGAATCCTGTTTCCCCCTCGTTGTAGCAGCATTACTGATTAAAATGCGTGTGGGGACCTCCTGGAAACCCCAACAGTGAGTCAACAATAGCAGCTTAATTAGAATTTAGGTGAGTGACATGGGCATGGTGTGTTTGAAAGAGTCACGTCGAATGACCCCAAGGAATACAACAAAAATGTAGTTCATAAAAATTTGTCCACTATTGCTTCAAAATTCGAAGCACATAAATATATTTATAAATCACAACGCAATTTGGAGAAAAGCAAATTAACCATGCAATTAGGAGAGAAGACTGCATTAATGAGCTAGTGGCTCATCACTAGTCTGATCAATCGATCAATTTATCAATTCAACGGTTGGTTGTTAAAAGAATCAGAAGCCTAAAACCTTGATTTCATTTGGGTCAAGGCTTGATTAATTCACCAAACTTTGAAATGGGCTAGATGGCAGCACTCAGAAAGGACGATGGACAAGGAGGAATTGGTATGTCAACAGTGCCTTCCAGCATCAATACTACCTTCTTCATGGAGGGACGAAGCGATGGTTCGTCCTGGATGCACCACAGCCCCACCCTAATCATTCTTTCAAATTTTCTCTTGTCCACTACCTCTTCTTCATTGCGCATCAGCTTATGCAGCTCACCGCCCTTGAAACAGTCGTAGGCCCAATCTACAAGTATAGCTTCCTCCCCTGAATTATCGTTATCCACACTCCGACGACAACATACTATCTCCAGCAACACAATTCCAAAGCTGTACACATCTGCCTTCACTGTAATGGGCAACTTTCGGTGCCACTCTGGTGCCACGTACCCTCTTGTCCCTCTGATCGACGTGAAGGTTCCACTTTGATCCGGCTTCAACAGTTTTGCCAATCCAAAGTCGGCAATCTTTGGACACTGATATTCATCCATAAGTATGTTTTGAGGCTTTATATCACAGTGGATGATCTGGGTCTCGCATTCTTCGTGTAAATACAGAATGCCTCTAGCTATGTTCACTGCAATTCCCACTCTCTGGTCCCAGCTTGGTCGACCTTCGGATCTAATAAACAGGAAGTCTGCAAGTGATCCATTGCTCATGTACTCGTATACCAGGAGCCTATTAGGGCCATCGTTGCAGTAACCCAGCAGTCGAACCAGGTTTCTGTGATGAGTTCTTCCAATCGCCTTCATCTCAGTTTGGAACTCTTGCTCTCCATCCACCACTTTCTCTAGTCTCTTGACTGCCACAATCCTTTGGCACTGTCCACTTGGTAAGCTTCCTTTAAAAACTGTGCCGAAGGATCCCCTTCCTATTTTTTCCTTAAAACTCCATGTTACTTTCTCAAGCTCGCTGTAAGTAAATGATCGTAGGGCAATCTCCTCGGGTACTCCTAATGGAGTAGTCCCTTGAGTTGAGATCTTTTTATACGCCCAGACGCGATGCCTGTGAATAAGAACAGCAGATAGCACTAGAACAACAATCGCACAGGTGAAAAATACGACACTGATTATCAGAATGACCTTCCTTGTCTCGTTCTTGTTTTCTTTGAGTGCTACAGCGGAGGTCCCATTTGTGATTGAGGTTGTTCCTTCGGTGCCCACCTTGACAAAAACAATAGCAGACTCATCTAGATTTCTTCTCCCATATCTCAACGGAAGCTTTTGTTTGCTGCATCCTTGGTCTCCAAATACTGCAGCCTCGCAGTTGCAGTCCTCCAAACAGGCAACTCTGCAATCTTCTTGGTTGGTTATAGACGACAAAGTCAAATATGGATCGTTTTCCCATGTGGTACGGTCCAGCGGAACCATGTCGAATTTGATGTGTTTGTTCTGGTCTCCGCAATTCTCTGCGCTAGAAATCCTCTTGCAGCCCAAACTCTGTTGCTCCTTGTCCACATAATCGAAACCAGGAAGACAATTGCAGGCAGCTCTTTGATCCATGAGAATGCAAAACGCATTTGGGCCGCAGTTACCCTTGGGGTCGCAAGGGTTGCTCGTTGAATTCCAAACGATCGACCAACTGCTGTTCCGATCCAACCTGTTCGAGTACAACCTAAAGATCCCATCGAAGTCGACTGTCATGCGATAGACGGTCGTCCTGGTTGTAGGGAATCCACCAACGGTAACATTCTTTATATTGAAGCCGGTGGTATTGAGCAAGTAGAGACGGCCATCACTATTAAAATTTAAGCTAACATTGTTTCCTTGACCAAAAGTACCTGAAGCCCAATAGGCGTATGCGCCTGTGTCTGGAGTTTGTATTGGGTACTGAACCAGGTTTCCGTCGTTCTGCATCTTGAGTCGAAATCTTCCCGTCGAGGGATCAACTTTTGAGTTGCTAGAGAACAGCTGCTTGTCTGCCGGAAAGCGTTGACCGGGCAAAAGGGTGTCGGTTGGGGAGTCAAAACTCTGCCATATGACGCTCCGATTAGAACTATAGAGAACGAAGTTGCCAGAATCAAGCATGGAAGCCGAAGAAGCGGATTGGGAAGCTTCAGCGATGGTCTTGATTTGGCCTTGTGTTTTTTGCAAGGTGAGCCTACCGTCACTGGTCAAGAGCAACGTAGCATTTCTTGGCACCGGGGGATCATCTCTGTTGGCTCTCCAAACGACTGTCTTCTCTGGAATTCTTGCAAACCAGATTCCAACAGCAAAGCCCTCGCCCAGTGGGTAAAACCCAAAAGCGAAAATGCCCGAAGGGGAGAGCCATGATGAGTTGGTGGCCGGGGAAAGAGAGGAACCAAGGATTATATCAGATGATTTTAGTTGAGCTGATGCCACCGAGAAAAATGCAGAGAGGAGTAGAAACACAAGAACAGCGGCCATTTCAAGGCATTAAAAGAAGGGGTAGTGTGGATGAACAAAGAGCAGAGGATGGCCTAGAAGACAATCCTGCAAACGAAGAAGTCGACTATTTAGTCTCCTGAACCGTCCGCGGGGGGGAAAAGTCTGACTGCGGCCTGGGGGCAGCTTCCAAGCAATGATGAGTCAAATGGAGGACTGACTTTTCAAGTCCAAGTACTCCCAAGAGGAACCTTCTCTTGCTGACCCCAATATCATAGACGTAATTAAGGTACAGAACATTTGAAACACTGTGATCTCAAAGTGGGACTCACATGTCTATCATGGACGTAGTTACCTGCAGTTATGAGGGAACCAGAAGAGGTTTATCAATGGCGATTTTCATTTTAATTTACAGCACTGACATCACCTAATTAAGCACATTAATTTGTTATTGAAAGAGATGAAAGGTTCCAAAGTATCACAACAGAAGGAAGCTAGGTGGGTTGGGGTTTGTAAGATACGTATGGTTTTCGAACTCATCAAGATTCAAGACATCAGAAAGAAAAGCTATTTTCAGTCGTTAGTATCCTTCCTACACCATTTCTGGTTCAAGTCTTGAAACCGGGAAAACTCTAATCATGTATCTTACCCCTTTGAATCTCTTGATAAAGCAAATTTTGCATACCGAGTGTTGGCTATGTTTGATTGATAGGAAAAAACAAAGAGAAACATAAAATTGAGCCAAATTATTTGAGGTTCATGAGTTTGGAAAGAGTACAAATACAAGTGCAAAACCTTGTATTCTGTATGCATTAATTTGAACTGTAGATTCAGAATTTTATTTCTTAGTTTCTATTTATATTAATAAACTAAATACAGTCTGAAGTGTTAACGAAATGGTGCATTTGTCTTTACCGATCATATATAATTATATAGGGTCATATCTTCTTCTAGAAGAAGGGCCCATGTATGTTTTGAGACTTTGAACGGGGTGCATATTCTTTTTATTCTTTTTCATGGCAAACTTGTAGAATGGGATAGGGGATGAAGGCGGGATTTGAACGGCAATATCAAATTACAAATTCATTAATGGAAATTGGAAGCAGGACAATCTTTAATATTTTTAGGGCAAACTAGCTATTTAATATATACCCGATGCTTTCACTAAACAACTTATAAATATACCCTGTAAGCATATAACCAACAGAAAACTTAAAAAGTAAAACTACCCTTAATTATCCATTAAATTTATTCATTAAATTTCCAAACATACATTTTGAGTATTTCAAAACCCCACATACACACATATTTGCTTTCAAGACATACACTCCTATATGATATAAAATTTGTACTTTTTATCTAATCTGCATTCATTTGCAGTGCATCATCATATAAGGTGGAAACTAATCATTCTACTTACAATTTTATTTCCTGAAAACAAATATTTATATGACATAACCAAATCTGAAGCCAAAAAGTATTCCAGAAATACACAGCCTATTTGCATTTTCATGCATTTGCATCAAAGGTTCAGTTTGGAAATAGTACAAATATAAATACGACAGAGTGCAAAACTTTGTATTTTGTATTACTTTGTATGTATTTGTATTTTACATATTTGTATTTGTATTCCTTCCAAAGTCTCAGTTAGGAAAGAGTACAAATACAAATATGTACAATATAAATACTTACAAACTACAAGGTTTTACACTCTATATATTTGTATTTGTACTCCTTCCAAACTGATTAGGAAGTCAACCAAATTTAATTTAGCATGGTCCTAGAAGGGTTTAATCTCAAGGATCCAGTTTTTTCTGATGTACTACCTAACTGTTGCCTCTTAGTGTTGAAATCAAGGTTAAAAAAATCGTAAAAGTGCCACATATGTGCCATGTGAGTCCACGTGCATTACATGTGGGCCCATGTGTGTCTCGAGGGATAAGGTAGTAATTTCTATAGAAATAATTTAATATAATGTTTGAAAAACAACATCTAAATGCATTTGTGAAGAAGTAGGGGCTAAAAAAGTCATTTCCACAAAAATAAGTACTTATTAGTCAAGTGGCTCATCAAACAGCCTAACCCCAATAAGTACTTAAAATAAGTATAAGTGGTTTGAGAAAGGGATCGCCAAACATCAATCAGTACTGATTCAAATAAGTACTTCAAAATAATTACTTTGAAATAAGTACTTATTTCTCAATCCACTTATTTGTTAAACATAGCCTAAGATTCAGAGTGCTTAAAAGTAAGCACTTTATTCAAATAATCACATTTTTGGGCCATGACCACACCAATAAGCAATTATTTGCATTTGGGAAATAAGCCCAAATAATTAAGTGCTTGTCCTCAAGAATAAGCACTTATTCAAGAAGTCCAAAATTTGGACTTATTTTTAACTGTTTATTTCCTTTTTGGCTTGTTTTGGCCCATCATGTCATCTTGAAAATAACTATACTATCCATGTGTAAAATATAAGTGTTTTTTCACCAAAAAAACTCATTAACGCTTATTAGAATAAAAACTTATTTTTAAGCACTTATAAACACTTGTTTTTCAAATAAGCATTCCCAAACTTGGCCTCAGCATTGGTGGTTAATAGATAATGGCAAGTTGTTTGCTAAATGTGCCTTCCTCATGTGGCATATATGCATGGAAGGCACGATACAAAATAGCAATGCAGGGTGTAGACTTTAATCCGTCTCGGGTCATACTTAACCAACTATACTCCTGGCATTGATGTCCATTCAGTCTAGAATCTAGATGTTGGAGTCCTCCACCATCGTCAACGCACTGAAGATAATGAATATCTTGTTGGACCCAACCCTTGAGGTCCCTTGTCATATCACTGCCGAGGATAAGAGTTTATTATGCGAGTCTGAGCATCACCCCATCTCCTTCATTCATCATATCTGTAATAATGTTGCAGAGTGTGTATTGTTATTTGTTAAACATGCAGTGTCTTTACCTATGCTAGTTACTCCCTCTTTCTTATTACCTGTATCATAAAGATTTGATGCCATGGCATGCTGTCAAAAGAAATTAAAAAAAAAGACAAATTTAGTGTAATTAAAGAAATTTAATTTTATTATAAAAGAAAAGAAACCTAATCTAATTGGCAACTTAGGGGGTGTTCTATAGTGTGGGCAATAAATTGGGTGGTGTGGATCGGTCCATACCACACCTTGTGGAAGGTGTGGACGAGGTCAGTCTACACCCACTGTGGTGTGAGCTCTACACCTTTTGATTCCATGTATCTCATATACAATTTATGAAGTAATCTATACAATCGATCATAAATGTCTAATTTTTATAATTTATATGATACATATAAAATTGAAAAAAAGACTTTGATCATTGAATATTAATTTCAATAAAAATTGTAATAAATTAATTTAAAAAATAAAAATTAATATTTTATTAATAAAAAGATTAAAAATAATATTTAAACAAACTAAATAATAAATTATTGCAAGATAAGCATAACGATACCCTAATCAATGGTCCCGGGGATCCATTCTCAATGTAAATGGCACCACATTGATTTCATGATGGACACAAGTAGGTAGAGAAAATAAAAATCTTGGAAGATCTGATGGGAATTTACCAATTTATCATCATTATTTTTCCGAGATGCTTCAAATTGGATAACTTTATTGTTTCCAATACTTTAGTTTAATGCACAGACAACACAATAATACTTCAGTTTAAACTGTCAATCCTGGATCATTATGTATTTATTCCATTGGGCAAAATGCACAGACAACACAATAGTAAGGACAAAAATATGAATAAAGAATCTAGCTGGAAATACAATAACATAAATGGGTATTAATTTATGAAGATAAGTGTCATAAAATATACCTAACCACGTGGAATTTTGGGTATATAAATTAGAAAACCTTGCTTAGGAAATATTGAAGGGTGTAGCTATTCCAATCTAAGAAATCTAGATTTGGGGAAATTTAGGAAGGGGAGAAGAAAAATTCCTCTATGTTGGATTTTCTTTAGATTACTATTGGTATTGATGATTTTTGTTTTTATTGCAGTTTGATGGTGATGTTTATATACTACCCACAGATGAACCACATGGAACAATTGAAGCAAGTTTGAGCCGCTCCTGGTCCAGGATGTAGAAGCTAGTATGAGTAGTATCAATGGCTTATGCTATAACCAGCCTGATACTTGCTCATATCTGTGTATTTACTTTATTTACAAAACCCACCACTCCTTTTTAGGCTCCCAAGATTTGGATGGGATGAAATAGAAAAATATAAAAATTTAAAACCAAACAAAGAAATAGGGGTTAACTTTTCAATAAAACCAAACAATAAAGGTGGAGCTTTTATGTGAATGTGGGAGGGTTATGATTCTGTTCTGCTTAAATTTCTCTTAATTTACTTAATGTGATTAAAAATCAAGTAACCCATTAGATAGCATTTCAGTGAACTCTTTTCACTATCACAGCCTGCATATCTCTTGCATGACCATATTGATTGGGATTGGGGACTTAAAACTTTCTTTCTAGGGACCTTTGGGAGTTTGATGGCAACAAAATTGTTCTTGGTTTAGACTCTTTGCTGCATCTTTTGTTGAACAAGTGGTCAGATCAGATAAGATTAGGCACCAACAATTTAACAAGTGGTCAGATCAGATAAAATTTAGTGGTCGGATTAAATAGGATTATGCAAATGTTCAATCTTGGGGTCAGGTTTGTGCTTTGCATAGGGATTCTATACGACAAATAGAATACCCATCAGTAAGAATGAACTTAGATAGGCACTCTGTATTTTTTTTTTTTTCAATAATTAAGGACAAAACATAGATTAGAAGTAAAAGACTAAAGAAACAAGCCTATGCAAAGCTAAATCATTATGAATGAATTAGCTTTGCATGAAAACTAAATTTTCCCTCCACCCTGATGTTAGAGAGGACTTCATGCGATCATCCACCTATGCTATTCCAGATTCTTTTGGATGGCTTCCCCATCTTCTCTTGCAAAAAATCAGTAGATTCTCCATAGAGGTTTATGCGGTTGGTTTCTTGTTATCCTCTATACATCCTTGTAAAGTATGAAACTGATATAAAGAAATATAAGATTATGCAAATGTTCAGAAAGTAGAAATCTTATAGTGGATTGGCTCCAAGGTTCAAAGAATGCCCACACCAAACAACTTTTGCAAATGAGTGCACATCCTAACAAGCACATCCACATATATGAGAAAACAAAACATCATGATTCTCTAGATCAATCAGATAGAGAGGACTATGGGGGAACATCATGCAAACTAGACTCCAGATCTATATGCATTAGGAAACCATTGCTGGTTCTGCATTGCAAGACTGTGGAAGGAAAGGTATTTCTAACAAATCTCTATTCGACTTTCACATACCAGCAGTGAAGAACTTGGACGAAGGAGAGCTTTAGTGGAGCACAACAGAGGTCTTTGGCTATGGATACCTTCGGCGGAGCACAACAGAGGTCTTCGATGGTGAAGACGACCTTTGGTGGAGTACAACAGATATCTTTGGTGATGGAGACCTTCAACAGTAAAAATACGTAGGGTTAGGAGAGTGTGCATGAAGCATGATATCAAAGACAAACCGTGGACCAACCCCATCTACGATAAAATGCCGTTGACGCTAAATTGGGGTGTGGACAAGGGTGGTCCACGAGATAGTGTGGACCGGTCAGTCCGGTCCTGTCCACAGCAAATCGAACAGTGATTTCATCCCGTGGCGTGGATTGAAATGGTCCATCTATGAGATGAACACGCTACTGAACGTCCTCTTATTTACTAAAAAGCATTGATCTTATTCTATTCACAGCTTAATTATGTCGATTACCCAATATAAATATTTTGTTAATGCTTTATAACTTAGGGCCCAAATTTAGTAATTTTACAAAGAATAACATATCTAGGGTCTATTCGTTTCACTACAAAAAAAAAAAAAAAAAAAAAAAAAACAGGCTAAGTTGGTGCTTGCTAAAATGCCGACTTAGCCTTTTAAACCGCTGACATAAATTTGAGCCGGCGGTTCAATGGCCGCCTTCTTTACTTGTGTCGCCCTAGGTCATGGACGCCGGTCTAGAATACAAAGACCGCCGTCCTAGGGATCCAGTCCAACCATACATTGGGTGGCGTTTTTAGGGAATCGTCGACTTAGTTATTAAGCTGACAGTCGCACAAACTGCCGGTTTAGTTATTGAGCCATCGCCCTTGACCGCTGGCTTAGATTAATTTGTCACTACCACAAAATGCCACCTTAGTTAAATTTTGTAATCAAATCCGATAGTTTTAACTGCCGGCTTAGACCAAATTTTCATCTAATTAAACTGTCACCATTAATGTTTTATTTTGACAAAAGTGGCGGTTTGGACGGCCGGCATAGACATTATATAAACCGCCGGTTTAAGTGTAATGCTTTACCAAAGGTGGCGGTTTGTTTGACCGCCGGCTTAGGTTTTTAAATTTTTTTCTTTTTATAAACAAGAATTTCAATTGACACATGCTGAAACCTAAAGCATAAAATTAATAAAACAAATGCATGGTGCATATTGATTCTTTAATAAAAAAAGCTTTTCATCACCCAACAATCAATCTCTAGATCATGTAATGCTGCTGCAAACCTGAAATAAACACTATTCAACCAATCACTAAAAAAGAATAATCATAATTGGTTTTGCATATTTCTTTAAATAAGTATCCGAAACTTGAAAAGAATTCAAACTATCTCCAACCAACATGGGATCACAAACTAGGGAAATGTTGACCGATACAGTGAAGATATGCTTCTTGGGTTTTTCCTTGACCGATACAGTGAAGCTCTGATCATTCTTGGGTTTTGCCTTGACCGATACAGTGAAGCTCTGCTTCTCACCGATGCTAGAAAATGACAGACTCAAGGGCTCGACAGTAATCTCTACACCAGGTGCTGCATTTATGGTGGGCATTGTATATGGACCCTGCTAACCCCACATTAGTGACTGTCCTGAACACGCCAGTTACCGGCTCAATAGCTGCACTCACAGTTAGCTGCATGGAAGTGAGGAGCAGCCGATAGGATTTGAGTCAATTATCATACTTAGGGTTGTACCGCTGTAACCTTCTTTGCATAAGAACTCAATGTAATGCATTTGAAGATGATCAGCAAGAGAGAAAGTGAGCTTAGTTTTATCCATTTTCTTTAGGAAGTTAAATAAAGAAAGAAGGCGTAAGAGTTTTTTACCAGTTGTCATGATGGCAAATTTGATGGCTGCCGGCAACCAAGTTGGGTGCATTGATTTGACATAGGCAGCCACCCCACTTATCCATTCGGGTGAATTGAAGAATACATTTGAAGAGATGATCAGCGAGAGAGAAAGTGAGCTTAGTTTTATCCATGCATGGATGTAGCAGACATCACTATGAATTTGGAAAACCGATCACCATCTGGCCAGCCGGAAATTGACACGATTCCTGTGTACGCAGCCAAGATGTTGGCACCCGGAGCCGCAATATCAAGCTGTTTTGAATGTTCATCATGAATTGARAAAATATCAGATCAGAAGGAATTCGATATCATTCAATTAAATAATAAGTGAAGTGACCCATTTAATTGCCACATACAATATCTAGCAAGAGAACGGTGTCAAGGTTAATGGCACAAGCTAGAAATAAATTTCTTGATGATGGTAAATGATGATCAAGAGATATATGTGGTGCAATAAAAGAGATCTGACGCCCATTTCTTTTACCTTTAGAACTTTGTTTGATACAGGATTAGGTCCTCTAGATAAAAACGTATATAGTCACAGATGGAGCAGCAACCTTCATGGCCTGGGTTTTGAATATCACGGCTTTGGGGGAACTAGATAAATTGCAACCAAAAAAAAAATACAGATTGAAATGGCTCAAGTCAGCACAGTTGTTCCTCTGTCAATTGAGTGTTGTATTGATAAACTTACTTGAAAAGAGCAACAAAGGGAAAACAGCAGTACAGTATCAATGTATATATAGAGCTTGCTTTCATGAATTACCTTGTGGAATT